AGAAGTGATGCAAGGGGGGGAAGAGTTATGGAAAAAAAGAGAGAGGTTAAGAGATTGGTGAAGCAATGTAAAAAGAGCAAATGAGGGTGGGTGGGATGTTATCAACAAATTTGTTGAAAATAAGAAAAATTTTGGAGTGAGTTTTAAAAGTTAAGGAAGCCTAGAGAACAATGGATTTGTCAGTTAAAAAATAGGAGAGGAGAGTTTTTAAATGGAGAGTTAGAGGTATTGGGAAGTGGAGGGAATATTTTGAGGAATTGTTAAATGTTGATGAAGATAGGGAAGCTGTGGTTTCGTGTATAGGGCAAGGAGGAATAACATCTTGTAGGAGTGAGAAAGAGCCAGTTGTGAGTGTGGGGGAAGGTCGTGAGGCAGTAGGGAAAATGAAGGGGGTAAGGCAGCCGGGATTGATGGGATAAAAATAGAAATGTTAAAAGCAGGTGGGGTATAGTTTTGGAGTGGGTTGGTGCAATTATTTAATAAATGTATGGAAGAGGGTAAGGTACCTAGGGATTGGCAGAAGCATGCATAGTTCCTTTGTATAAAGGCAAAGGGGACAAGAGAGAGTGCAAAAATTATAGGGGGATAAGTCTGTTGAGTATACCTGGTAAAGTGTATGGTAGAGTTATTATTGAAAGAATTAAGAGTAAGACGGAGAATAGGATAGCAGATGAACAAGGAGGCTTTAGGAAAGGTAGGGGGTGTGTGGACCAGGTGTTTACAGTGAAACATATAAGTGAATAGTATTTAGATAAGGCTAAAGAGGTCTTTGTGGCATTTATGGATTTGGAAAAGGCGTATGACAGGGTTCTAGGTAGTAGGTTGGTAGACAGCAACCGCCCAGGGAGGTACTACCGTCCTGCCAAGTGAGTGTAAAACTGAAGTCTGTAATTGTTTTACATGATGGTAAGATTGCTGGTGTCTTTTTTTATCTGTCTCATACACATGCAAGATTTCAGGTATGTCTTGCTACTTCTACTTACACTTAGGTCACACTACACATACATGTACAAGCATATATATACACACCCCTTTGGGTTTTCTTCTATTTTCTTTCTAGTTCTTGTTCTTGTTTATTTCTTCTTACCTCCATGGGAAAGTGGAACAGAATTCTTCCTCCGTAAGCCATGCGTGTTGTAAGAGGCGACTAAAATGCCGGGAGCAAGGAGCTAGTAACCTCTTCTCCTGTATATATTACTAAATGTAAAAGGAGAAACTTTCGTTTTTCCTTTTGGGCCACCCCGCCTCGGTGGGATACGGCCGGTGTGTTGAAAGAAAGAAAGAAGTATGACAGGGTGGATAGGGGGGCAATGTGGCAGATGTTGCAGGTGTATGGTGTAGGAGGTAGGTTACTGAAAGCAGTGAAGAGTTTTTACGAGGATAGTGAGGCTCAAGTTAGAGTACACAGGAAAGAGGGAAATTATTTCCCAGTAAAAGTAGGCCTTAGACAAGGATGTGTGATGTCACCATGGTTGTTTAATATATTTATAGATGGGGTTGTAAGAGAAGTAAATGCGAGAGTCTTGGCAAGAGGCGTGGAGTTAAAAGATAAAGAATCACACATAAAGTGGGAATTGTCACAGTTGCTCTTTGCTGATGACACTGTGCTCTTGGGAGATTCTGAAGAGAAGTTGCAGAGATTGGTGGATGAATTTGGTAGGGTGTGCAAAAGAAGAAAATTAAAAGTGAATACAGGAAAGAGTAAGGTTATGAGGATAACAAAAAGATTAGGTGATGAAAGATTGGATATCAGATTGGAGGGAGAGAGTATGGAGGAGGTGCATGTATTCAGATATTTGGGAGTGGACATGTCAGTGGATGGGTCTATGAAAGATGAGGTGAATCATAGAATTGATGAGGGGAAAAGGGTGAGTGGTGCACTTAGGAGTCTGTGAAGACAAAGAACTTTGTCCTTGGAGGCAAAGAGGGGAATGTATGAGAGTATAGTTTTACCAACGCTCATATATGGGTGTGAAGCATGGGTGATGAATGTTGCAGCGTGGAGAAGGCTGGAGGCAGTGGAGATGTCATGTCTGAGGGCAATGTGTGGTGTGAATATAATGCAGAGAATTCGTAGTTTGGAAGTTAGGAGGAGGTGCGGGATTACCAAAACTGTTGTCCAGAGGGCTGAGGAAGGGTTGTTGAGGTGGTTCGGACATGTAGAGAGAATGGAGCAAAACAGAGTGACTTCAAGAGTGTATCAGTCTGTAGTGGAAGGAAGGCAGGGTAGGGGTCGGCCTAGGAAAGGTTGGAGGGAGGGGCTAAAGGAAGTTTTTTGTGCGAGGGGCTTGGACTTCCAGCAGGCAGGCATGAGCGTGTTTGATAGGAGTGAATGGAGACAAATGGTTTTTAATACTTGACATGCTGTTGGAGTGTGAGCAAAGTAACATTTATGAAGGGGTTCAGGGAAACCGGCAGGCCGGACTTGAGTCCTGGAGATGGGAAGTACAGTGCCTGCACTCTGAAGGAGGGGTGTTAATGTTGCAGTTTAAAAACTGTAGTGTAAAGCACCCTTCTGGCAAGACAGTGATGGAGTGAATGATGGTGGAAGTTTTTCTTTTTCGGGCCACCCTGCCTTGGTGGGAATCGGCCAGTGTGATAATAAAAAAAAAAAAAAATTCCATTTCCACACAAACCACAAATTTATTCAGAATACATAATGTTTAATTCATTTAAACGCAGATATACAGTAAAGACTGAATACTGAATTATGACACCCATTCCCCAGTCCTTGCAATACTTTTATACCTGAAGAATATGTCCCATTCTTATATACTATACTGTTTTTTCTTTTTTTACACGCTGGCCGTCTCCCACCGAGGAAGGGTGACCCAAAAACAAACACTTTTATCATCATTCACAGAATCACTGTCTTGCCAGAAGCCAACACAGATACGACAGCTCATAGACATAAAATAACCAGAAGTAGTCACCACCTTTCCTAAACTGCCATATATGCAAAATGATTATACACGTTTTTCTTAAGATTAGCAACTACATCTCAAGACCAGGCAGGTGTACAGTGTTTTTTAAGCAGAGATGAATATAAAATGGACTGCACACATATTGCTGCAGAATCATACTTATGGACAAATGCCAGGATGTCAGCTGCACGACCCGTTCCATCACAAACAATAACAGGAACTGGAGGCGAGTCAGTGACATACTCAAGTACTTGTCTTATTGTCTGGGGACCGCCCTCTATCACAACACACACGACTGGAGTTGCCAGCCCACCACCTGAAAAAAAAAAAAGTTAGATAAATACAAGAGAGAGAGAGGGGTTGGAACTGAGTGGGGCTTGCACATGAGTTAATAGCATTATGAAAGCTTATTCCTTGGGTAGCAATGAAAATAGGTTGGGCATATATTTTTGTTAGTGGGTTTGTGTTTGAGAAAGACCTGCCTAGTATGGGCTAATAGGCCTGATCCAGTGTTCCTCCATTATGTTCTTATACTGATATATGATGCATATATATTTTTTTTTTCAACAAATTGGCCATCTCTCATTGAGATAGGGTGACCAAAAAAAAAAAGAAGAAATACTTTCACCATCACTAACTCCATCACTGTCTTGCAAGAGGGGTGTCAATACTACAATTCAAAACTGCAAGAATCCCCACCCCTCCTTCAGAGAGCAGGTACTGGTACTCTCCAGGTATACACTGTATTTCTCACCTCCAGTACTCACATCTGGCTAACCAGTTTCCCTGAATCCCTTCATAAATGTTACCTTGCTCACACTCCAACAGCACATCGTCATAAAAAAAAAATATCTTCTTCCACTCACACGTATCTAACATGCTCACATACACTTGCTAGATGTCTAAGCCCCTTGCACACAGAACCTCCTTTACCCCCTCCCTCTGTCCTTTCCTAGGACAACCCCTACACTGCCTTCCCTCAACTACAGATTAATATCCCCTCTAAGTCATTCTATTTTGTTCCATCCTCTCAAGATGTCCAAACCACCTCAACAACCCCTCCTTTCGGTCACCCAAGGCAGGGTGACCAAAAAAAAAAATTTTTCTTCCTCTTACATTTAATAATTTATACAGGAGAAAGGGTTACTAGCCCCTTGCTTGCTCCCGTCATTTTAGTCAAAACACACATGACTTATGGAGAAAGGATTCTCCCCGCATAAGTATTAAAATTTAATAAAAACTGAACATAACTGGAACTTACGCGCTTCAATACGTTGTTTGGAGATATAGTTTTCTAATTTTCTTCGCAATATCAACTCGGGTCCATATTTGCCAACTGTTCCATTGTCTACCAGCAAGAAGAATGTGTGATGACTGTTGAGTGCAACAAATCTGAAACATTAGGATAGTTTTTATTATGAAAAATAGGTAAATATAAATGAAAATTTACAGGGATCTCATTCTGTTATTTTGAGTTTCACCAAATATTAACACCATACTGTATTAAATATTGTTTTATTGGCACTAATATTTGAATTTGTAAAAAAAATATGAAAAAAAGAAAACTATTTTGGATTTGATAAATTGCCCAAGAATATTCTTAAATACATTCAATGGCTGGTTTGGATTTTGAGCTGCGAGCACCAGACCTATAGACGACATTGCTATGTTTCTCATTTTGTATTTGAATGTAACTGCTTCATCATTGAAAGCCTAAAATTTGTGTTATAATTCTCTTAGAAGAACTATTTGCATTACAAGTGATCCCCAATAACACAAACAGTTAGCCTATGTTACTGGAATATTGCATCTGGGTGGGAACATGTAGGCCCAGGAGGTATCATCATATTCTTCTTTGGATACATGTTCAGTGTATGCCGGGAGCAAGAGGCTAGTAACCCCTTCTCCTGTATAAATTACTAAATGGGAAGTACAATGCCTGCACTTTAAAGGAGGGGTTTGGGATATTGGCAGTTTGGAGGGATATGTTGTGTATCTTTATACGTATATGCTTCTAAACTGTTGTATTCTGAGCACCTCTGCAAAAACAGTGATAATGTGTGAGTGTGGTGAAAGTGTTGAATGATGATGAAAGTATTTTCTTTTTGGGGATTTTCTTTCTTTTTTGGGTCACCCTGCCTCGGTGGGAGACGACCGACTTGTTGAAAAAAAAAAAAAAAAAAAAAAAAAAACTCTTGTTTTTCTTTTTAGGTCACCCTTCCTCGGTAGGACATGGCCAGTTTGTTGAAAAAAAATGTTCAGTGTTTTTTTAATTCATTATCTGTGAGCTTCTCTCAAAATATATCCCTCACAAAAATTTTGGGACTACAATATACTGAATAGTGATTTATATACAGTATTATATGTCATTACACATCTTGTTTTCACACTCAAAGAATAAATTAGTCATTTACTGAAAGTTAAAAAAAAAAAAAAAAAAAAAGACATGTTTTCTCCAACTTTCAAAATATTCAAATCAGTTCAGTACAGCAAAAGAAAAACAACCACAGTAACAGTGTGACTTTGTAAATGGTCAAAGTTGGACCAAAATGTCATTGTAAGTGCCTCTCTCTTATGAGCAGGTTATTTATGTACAGTAACCATTTGCAAGAAGTAGTAAACTAATCTTATACCAACTTGGATTTTGGAGAGTTAATGGGGTGATAGGGAACATCTTTGTTGCGTCCGATCAATTCCTGCCGTCTCTCAATGACCCCCCATGGAGCAATCCCAACACTGACCACTCGACCGCTGCGCACTCTGAGGGACGACTCTGACACGAGCGCTTCTCCAACTTGTCTGGTAACACCTGTCAATATTAAAAAAAAATATTTTCAAAATTACATAAAGGAAAGCCAGTATTACAAAAAATTTTTAATAATAAACTTCTCGTTATGAGGAAGATATAATTAATACCGAAAAATGATTGGTAAACCATGGAACGGGTGGGATTTCAACCCATGGTGTTTGTGAGTTCTGTGGTTTGTTTGCAATTGTGTTGTTATGATTTTGAGAGTCCTTTATCAATCTTTCAGTCTTTTTATGTTCCCAGCCAAATAAGATGAAACAAGGAATCAATATCTCCCATAATTTTATATTGTAAGAAAACAATTTTGTGTCCTTTATTGATCTTTCAGTCTTACGTTCCCAGCCAAATAAGATGAAACAAGGAATCAATATCCCACATAATTTTATATTGTAAGAAAACAAATATTCATAATACAATATACAAGGATATGTAAGTAAGCTTTACTTTAACATAGTGAGTAAAAAAAAAACTTTTCAAATGGGCAACTTTGAAAGGTATTCCTATTCAGTTTTATGCACAATATGAAAGCCAAATTGTTTACCTGGTTAAGTAGTTACAATATATATTAATTTGTATCTAATTTAGTTCAATGTAATTCAATATTAAGTCTCCAAGAAGATACATTAGTTACCATTGATTATCTAACATTTGAGAGCCCAGTTATCCAATGCATTTCAGGCAGAATTTAGCTAAGACTAATATTAATAAGAGAAAATGAAAATAGACAGGAGGGCCCCACATATTCAGCAATCTCTTTTCGGTGTTCTGTATTTTTGACGGTTTTCAACTGAGCCACTGTTCATTATGTTCGGTACTTTTACTGCTTTTTTGCTGTTTTGGCACAACAGTTGTGTAAGGGAAGGGCGACTGGCACCATATTTTAAAGTATTGTATGTACTGTGTATTCATTTTATTTTTGTATCTGTATTTTTATACCTTGCTGTATTGAGCACTTAATATAAGATACAATAAACACATTATCAGGCATTATAAACCCATTTGATATTGTCAAAACCGCTCTTTTCCACCCACCGGCGATTTTTGCTTATCGCTGGGGATCTGGAACATAACAGCCATAGAAATGGGGCCCTCCTATATTCTGTACTGTAGGAACAACAACAAGTGACACAATACACCTGTGTTGGTTCCCGCTGTGAAGACCCAGGCACCAGTTGTCTTGGCAGCTTTCAACAGGCCTTTTCTAATGACTTTTTTTAGCTTAGGCTGGAGATCAAAGTTAGTTTTGCCGCCTTGTACTGTTATAAGCAGTTTTGGGAGTTCCAGGCCCCACTCTCCTGTTAAAAGCTGAAGGATGTGCTCTGGTCGTGTGTCGTGAGCAAGTCTCACGTACTGAAATGCAAGAAATAAAAAAATGTTACAAGCAACCAAAACAAAACAAAAATACATTAGATTAACTTACAAACTTCTAGATTACAGATTCCTTATTTCAATATGATATAATGTTTGTACAGAGGTGGGTGACATTTAGATGTGCATGCGGAAAGTCCCTTACTATGCGGAGCATTTTGAGCAAACTCAAGCCTGTCTTAAGACTAATAAAGCAATAACTAGTTGATTGCTTATACAGTATATGCAGTCTCAAAAGAATTCAAAAGGAAGCAGTGTGTGCCAAAACTAACGGAAACTAAGCAACTATTTAGGATATATAATAGGATATATAATACAGGATGCCAGAACACCAGCTGCATTTCTGTAATCACAAACAGGCCCAGGAGCCATAGTGCAACCTTTGCAAACACAACCAGGTATACGCAGATAAACACACTGCAATATACTATAAACAGTACACAAACATTCTTGATTTATCTTTTATATTATAAACAATAGTGCAAATAACATCTTTCACATCATTAACTACAGAGTAAAGAGCATCTTTTATATTATAAACTATAGAGGAAAGAGCTTGCTGACCTGTGCCTTGGTGGGATGTGCTCCACCTTGAAACTCCAGAGTGCCGTAAGCATCCGTGGGGAGGAGTTGAGTGTGTCTGGAGGGACTCCAGTGTATGTCCTCCCCGTGCCGGAGCGTTGCTGGCGACCCATCACGGTGACACTGCCACAGCTGCCCGCAACAACACCTGTCAACCGCATTGCTCAAAGTCAAAATACAGTCTGACAACCACGATTCTCAGTTGCAACATAGTCTTTGAAACTAGTCACAACTGGGCCAAATTAGATAATTTACAGTTATGTATGCAAGTCACGATTCCCACATACGAACTTTTGAATAAATTATAAGCTTTCTATTATTTTATTACCAATAATTATTTTAAAGTGTTACATAACATGAATAAATTAAATAATGCAAATGCTGTGCATCATAAACTTAATATTATACAAGTGAGCAAATGCACAGCAGATATTACACTAACATAAAAATAGAAGACAAGGAAGGAAGAAAGAAAGAATTCCCAAAATGTACATTATTACAAATGTTCCAAAACAGAGATAGATACAGCACTACTATACCACAAAGTACCTAAACAACTACCATACATAAAATTTAATATGTTATTTAACTGCTCTATTGCTATAATTTATGGAAACAGGAATTTAGCTAAAATCAGAGGCATTAACAGCCGATTTTAAGCAGCACTGTATACATCTGCTAACAAGTGACAATATACGAGCCCCTTTTTTTTTGTGGTTTTTCTAACATTTTACTTGACAGAAATTTCTGAATATTCCCCATTTACAGAAAATTAATACTTTTTAAATAAGGTTACATAATGAACAGATAACCCGCACATAAGAGAGACTTATGATGTTCCGGTCTGACTTGGACTACTGACAAGTCACACTAACACACGAAGGTAAGGGAGCCAGTACATGTATATATGAAAGGAGGGCAAAGGTGGGACAGAGCGAGGAAGAAAAAAGAAGTGGAGATAATAGTGGTAGAGGTAATACTGATATTGGTTGAAGTAGTAGTAGTAATGTTGGTAGTGAAAGTAGTAGTCGTAGTAAGCAAATTATTAAATAACCATGACACATCTGATAGTGGGGTGTCCCAGTAAAAATGACTGGTGTGACGACGGGTTGAATGTATGTATACATATACAGTGGAACCTCGGCTTACAAGTTTAATCCGTTCCATGACCTTGCTCATATCTCGATCTGCTCACATGCAGAGTCAATTTTCCTCATTTAAATTAATTGAAATGCCATTAATCTGTTCCAGCAGAATTCCTGCTCACTTTGTGCACATAAAATGAGATAAAAGTGAGTTTGTGTGATTAACTAACTTAATGAATGACTTACTGACTTGACTGAATGACTTACTGACTTGACTGAATGACTTACTGACTTGACTGACTGACTGAATGGCTTGACTGACTGAATGACTTGACTGACTTACTGTATGACTTAAAGTTAGACTTTTTCACTGAAGAAGACCCTGAAACGATGTCTAGAGCAGCTGATGCCTTACCGTCAGTTGTATAATGCACTGCAGGGTAAAATAGAACAGAAATCCATTACAGAATTTATGCACACTCCAGTACAACCATCAACTTGAGTACCAGAACCTCTACCATCCACCTCAACCCAGTAGGACCACAACATAGCTCTACACTCTCTTCACAATCATCCACAAACACCAGCACCCACAATTTAAGGTAAGAAATACTATTATTTCTGTTGCAGTTATAGTCTTAAGCAGTAAAAACAACATAATACGTACATCATGACAATGAACTACAATTATATATTCACATTTATTTTTGTAAGATCAGGAGGTCAAAAAAAAAGTTGTTTGAGGGGGGGGAAGCTCACACCCCAAACTTTTGTTCATATCCAGAAACAAAAAGTTGACCGAGCGACTGCACATATCCTGAAAAACTCATATGGTGGGGCACTCATATGCCAAGGTTCCACTGTGCTGCGTATATTTAAATAGATGTACGTATATATAGTGTTGTACAAGATTTTTACTGTGGTTGGTGTAAGCTTGACTGGCTATACTGTAGGTGTCAACTTTAAATGGCAAGGCTTGTACTGTGCTACCTAGAAGAGTACCATTTAGCTGATCCCTACACAGTTTAAAATACTGACAAAATATTAGGTAAATGAACACAGATGCAACTACTGTTATGTTTTATTGTGGCAACATTGTGCTCTCCAGGAGCCTGGCAAAGCTCCTGAAGAGAGAAACGTTGCCACAATAAAACATCTCATTAGTTACATCTGTGTCCATTTACCTAACACACTTTAAAGCCACTTACTCCGTCTGTTGAGCAACACTGCAAGAAGTAACACAAGTAATGTAAACAGCTTTGAATCATAGGCAAGGATATGCTATTCTGCTATTTTTTCATGCTTTATAATGTGTACATTAATACTTTATATATGTCTGAATGCAATAAGATCACAGTAAACAGGTGATATCACAAATATGCAAAATAACCACTGTGAAAAATAGTGAATTTCCAAGTGCTTTCATGATTTCTCACATTATCTTGCATATGCAGTATACATGGATCAAATGAGCCCTCATGGAGAAAATAAAACAGAGGCTAAGAGAATTACTGAGTATTTCAGAATATTGCACAGACTGAAGTGGGCATCCATTGCATGATGAAATATCCAGCAAGACACCCTTCTCATCTTCTGTTGGCCACTGGTGCCAAAAGAACCACCATGTGGTTCTGTTGGAGCCAATGTTTCATTCTCCCATGTAAGGTTATTTATGAACAGTAAAGGAAGCCTTTTTCTTACATAAATTTTTATGGAAGACGAACTGACTAACCTGGCATTATCCTTACTGCTGGGAATAAACTTGACACACTCGCGCTTATTGAAGACGGTCTCCACCCACCGCGTCCCAGCCTGAAAGACATAAATGACACACTACATGTAGTCATCCTTTGTGCATTTATTGCTCTACAATGTACACTACTAACCTTTATTAATATGGTGAAGAATTTATTGTGCAATATAAGAATTACCTTCCCGTAACTCTGGTTCAAATTATACTCATAAATTCACAAGTGGGACTTAATATTTTTAATGTCATAGTGTATATTCAGCACTGAATATCTCACAGAAACATTATACAGGTGCTCCTTGCCTTACAATGGGGGTTACGTTCCAACAAACTCATCATAAGTCAAAAATATCGTAAGTAAAATATGAATACGAAATGCTAAATAAATAAATAAATAAATAACTACTATCACTGAATAAGCAAATAAACAAATAATTATTTTAACTAATTAAATACCAGTATTGAAAAGTAAATAAATGAATACAAGTTATGGACTTGCCACCTTCATGTTGCGTAATTATCTGAAGATTTATCTCCAAAGTAATTGCTGTTGCACCATCATAAAGTCGGAATATCATGAGTCGAGGAGCTCCTGTATACTCGTATGTGTTTATTACAGTGGTGTATTTTTAGGAACACCTAATACTTTTACAAGAGAATTATTATAGATAAAAGTAGTGAACTGTTTGCGATACACTTACAAATAATTATAGGGTCATTAAATGGGTGAGATGTTATCAACAAATTTTGTTGAAAATAAGAAAAAGTTTTGGAGTGAGATTAACAAGTTAAGAAAGCCTAGAGAACAAATGGATTTGTCAGTTAAAAATAGGAGAGGAGAGTTATTAAATGGAGAGTTAGAGGTATTGGGAAGATGGAAGGAATATTTTGAGGAATTGTTAAATGTTGATGAAGATAGGGAAGCTGTGATTTCGTGTATAGGGCAAGGAGGAATAACATCTTGTAGGAGTGAGGAAGAGCCAGTTGTGAGTGTGGGGGAAGTTCGTGAGGCAGTAGGTAAAATGAAAGGGGGGTAAGGCAGCCGGGATTGATGGGATAAAGATAGAAATGTTAAAAGCAGGTGGGGATATAGTTTTGGAGTGGTTGGTGCAATTATTTAATAAATGTATGGAAGAGGGTAAGGTACCTAGGGATTGGCAGAGAGCATGCATAGTTCCTTTGTATAAAGGCAAAGGGGATAAAAGAGAGTGCAAAAAATTATAGGGGGATAAGTCTGTTGAGTGTACCTGGTAAAGTGTATGGTAGAGTTATAATTGAAAGAATTAAGAGTAAGACGGAGAATAGGATAGCAGATGAACAAGGAGGCTTTAGGAAAGGTAGGGGGTGTGTGGACCAGGTGTTTACAGTGAAACATATAAGTGAACAGTATTTAGATAAGGCTAAAGAGGTCTTTGTGGCATTTATGGATTTGGAAAAGGCATATGACAGGGTGGATAGGGGGGCAATGTGGCAGATGTTGCAAGTGTATGGTGTAGGAGGTAGGTTACTGAAAGCAGTGAAGAGTTTTTACGAGGATAGTGAGGCTCAAGTTAGAGTATGTAGGAAAGAGGGAAATTTTTTCCCAGTAAAAGTAGGCCTTAGACAAGGATGTGTGATGTCACCGTGGTTGTTTAATATATTTATAGATGGGGTTGTAAGAGAAGTAAATGCGAGGGTCTTGGCAAGAGGCGTGGAGTTAAAAGATAAAGAATCACACACAAAGTGGGAGTTGTCACAGCTGCTCTTTGCTGATGACACTGTGCTCTTGGGAGATTCTGAAGAGAAGTTGCAGAGATTGGTGGATGAATTTGGTAGGGTGTGCAAAAGAAGAAAATTAAAGGTGAATACAGGAAAGAGTAAGGTTATGAGGATAACAAAAAGATTAGGTGATGAAAGATTGAATATCAGATTGGAGGGAGAGAGTATGGAGGAGGTGAACGTATTCAGATATTTGGGAGTGGACGTGTCAGCGGATGGGTCTATGAAAGATGAGGTGAATCATAGAATTGATGAGGGAAAAAGAGTGAGTGGTGCACTTAGGAGTCTGTGGAGACAAAGAACTTTGTCCTTGGAGGCAAAGAGGGGAATGTATGAGAGTATAGTTTTACCAACGCTCTTATATGGGTGTGAAGCGTGGGTGATGAATGTTGCAGCGAGGAGAAGGCTGGAGGCAGTGGAGATGTCATGTCTGAGGGCAATGTGTGGTGTGAATATAATGCAGAGAATTCGTAGTTTGGAAGTTAGGAGGAGGTGCGGGATTACCAAAACTGTTGTCCAGAGGGCTGAGGAAGGGTTGTTGAGGTGGTTCGGACATGTAGAGAGAATGGAGCGAAACAGAATGACTTCAAGAGTGTATCAGTCTGTAGTGGAAGGAAGGCGGGGTAGGGGTCGGCCTAGGAAGGGTTGGAGGGAGGGGGTAAAGGAGGTTTTGTGTGGCGAGGGGCTTGGACTTCCAGCAGGCATGCGTGAGCGTGTTTGATAGGAGTGAATGGAGACAAATGGTTTTTAATACTTGACGTGCTGTTGGAGTGTGAGCAAAGTAACATTTATGAAGGGATTCAGGGAAACCGGCAGGCCGGACTTGAGTCCTGGAGATGGGAAGTACAGTGCCTGCACTCTGAAGGAGGGGTGTTAATGTTGCAGTTTAAAAACTGTAGTGTAAAGCACCCTTCTGGCAAGACAGTGATGGAGTGAATGATGGTGAAAGTTTTTCTTTTTCGGGCCACCCTGCCTTGGTGGGAATCGGCCGGTGTGATAATAAAAAAAAAAAAAAAAAAAATTAAATGTTTGCAATCCAAAATAAATAACAAGAAATTAAAAAATAAAAGATACCTTGGTTCTAAATGCCTCACATCAACGACACATCGAGGAAGCAGACTTATACAAGCACACTAGTTGGCCTGAAGTGCACTGCATGCTACTGGTTTTTTGTGTGTACTTAACAATATTGTATTAGATGTAAACCACATTTTGTATATTGCAGAAAATAAATAAGATTGTATTGTATTGTACATGCTCGCAACCTTATTGGTGCTAAGTATTCAAACCAGTTAATGGATACTTACCTACGAGTGAGCTTTATCAAGTACACAGCACAGTCAGAAAAATTAAGTCTACTGTACTTTCTGGCATGTAAGGTGGGCTTTTTCCCACAATTACAGTATTTTTATAATCATAACTGCTAAATTTTTTCTCACAGCAAGTCTTGGAAAATTGGCTTGCACCTCATATGCTGAAGGTCAGAGTCAAGGGTAGGCTTTGAGTTTTAACAGCTATTTGTTAATGTTATATTATAACTGCTTGGAAACATCAACTTATATGCTCGAGTGCCTTATTTGCCAGAAAATACAGTATATATGGCATCAGAGTTTACCTAGAGTTTACCTGGAGAGAGTTCTGGGGGTCAATGCCCCTGCAGCCCGGTCTGTGACCAGGCCTCATGGTGGAACAGGGCCTGATCAACCAGGCTGTTACTACTGGCTGCACGCAATCCAACGTACGAGCCACAGCCCGGCTGATCAGGTACCGACTTTAGGTGCTTGTCCAGTGCTGCTTGAAGACAGTCAGGGGTCTATTGGTAATCCCCCTTATGTATGCTGGGAGGCAATTGAACAGTCTTGGGCCCCTGACACTTATTGTGTTGTCTTTTAGTGTGCTAGTGACACCCCTGCTTTTCATTGGGGGGATGTTGCATCGTCTGCCAAGTCTTTTACTTTCAGAGAGAATTTGGTACTAGTCCCTCTAGGATTTTCCAGGTGTATATAATCTGGGTAATCTGGTGTACACATGCTGAGTAGTGCACAGCAAGAGGCCTATCAGCCTATGCTGGGTTTCCATTGTTTCTAAATGATGTGATGTGATTGTTTGTGACCCCTAACACCTATGTGGCACATCACGTTCCATAACATGATGCAGGAGAGAGTGTAATATATTATATACAAGTGGGTAATTTACACTACATATGATAACTGTCTTTATAATAAATTTATTTAGGTACATGTACGTAAATACAGTTACACAAATTATCATACGTAGTACCATACTTGTAAATTACCCACCAGGATAACCCCAAAAAAAGTCAAAGTGACGTATTTCCATAGGTAATTTACACATTAATGTGTATGATAGTTGTAATTATTTGTACCTGTGCCTAAATAAACTTATTTTGCAACCTACAGCTGTACTTGTATACCTGCAAGCATGTAGGAAGACACCTAGCCCTTTAATAAGTTTATTTGGGCACAGTACACATAAGTACGATTATAATACATAGCAACATGTGTAAATTACCCAGGATAACCCAAAAAAAAGAGTCAGACTAAGTGACTTATTTCCAATGGTAAGTAAGTATATTTAGGTACAATTATCCACTGAAGATGCGAGTGTAAGCACATGAAAGCGCTCTAGTTTTATTTCCAAATTTCACTGGTATTTTTTTCCCAATTATCACACATAGATGTAAATTAACTAGGATAACTCAAAATGTTAGACAAAATGACTTAATTCCATTGAGGTGCTTGTAGGTAATATATATCTGTGTTCAATATTGTTTCAGTTCCTGAACGCTAAGTGTATTATAACATACCTTTTCATTCTAATTACACAGGGAAAGCAATATTGATACGGCTCCAGGTGTTGCAATGAAAATACAAGGACTCCAATGGAAATACAAGGACCCAAACTGAAATACAAGGACTCCAATGAAAATACAAGGACTCCAATGGAAATACAAGGACTCCAATGGAAATACAAGGACTCCAATGGAAATACAAGGACCCAAACTGAAATACAGTGGACCCCCGACATTTGATGGCATCGACATTCGATAAATCCGACATTCGATGCATTTTAATGCAAAAATTTCACCTCGACATTCAATGGAAAACCCGACATTCGATACGATTCGTGTCCACGTGTGGCCTGAACTGCCCCATGTGTGCCAATGTTTACAAGCCAGTCAGTGTGCGTGCATCTAAGGATACATTCGGTACATTCCATATTATCCATATTATCACTGTTTTTGGTGCTTGTTTCTGCAAAATAAGTCACCATGGGCCCCAAGAAAGCTTCTAGTGCCAACCCTGTGGTAAAAAGGGTGAGAATTAGTATGGAAATTAAGAAAGATTTTGAAGGGTTTGGGGCTAACCCTGAGAAGCCTATGCCAGTTGTGGACTCCACTGTGCCTACTTCAAAAATTAAGGAAATGTGTGCAAAGTGGGTTGAACTGCAAACCTTTATGGATGAAAATCACCCTAACACAGCTATTGCAAGCCGTGCTGGTGACTATTACAATGACAATGTTATTGCCCAGTGACTCTCAAGCTGGTCCTAGTGGCATTAAAAGAAGAAGGGAAGTAACCCCAGAAAAGGACTTGCTACCTCAAGTCCTAATGAAAGGGGATTCTCCTTCTAAACAGTAACAACTTCGACACTCTCCCCTCCTCCCATCCCATCAATCATCACCATATCTTCATTAAAGGTAAGTGTCAATTATTCTATTGTTATTATTCTATTGATATTGTTGTTATTGTAATTATTCTATTGCATTAAACTTAATATTTCATATGGTAAAAAAATTTTTTTTCATACTTTTGGGCGTCTTGCACGGATTAATTTGATTTCCATTATTTCTTTTGGGGAAAATTAATTCGACTTTCAATATTTTCGACATTCGATAGCTCTCAGGAACGGATTAGTATCGAATGTCGAGGGTCCACTGTACAAGGACTCCAATGGAAATACAAGGACTCCAATGGAAATACAAGGACCCCAATGGAAATGTCACTTTGTCTGATATTTCTTGGGGTGATCCTGGTGTGTAATTTACACTATGTATGACAATTGTACTTATGTGTACCTGTGCCTAAATATACTTAAGTTTTTTGTTAGTTCTTCCAGCTTAACTTTGACCCTCTATTAAATTTGTCAATTAATTACCCTGCCGGTGCAGACATTTCAGAAAACCAAATAATGATTTAAAAATCATTATATTTTTTAATACAGGGAGATACATCTATAATTAATATTACACTGCAACATCATTAGTATTAGTGTGCGGGAAATGCTCAGGCATATTAATGACTATCTTTGTGCTTAATATTATTCTATAATTTGCAAAGTACACATTGTAAAATTTGCAAAAAAAAATAAAAAAAATTGATTTTGATTTTCTGCAATTCCAGTCACTTACAGATCAGCTCATAATTCACGTACAGGTACACATAAATGCAGTTACATAAATTATCATGTAATTATTATTATAATTATGGGGGAGCGCTAAACCCATAGGATTGTAAATTATCATACACAGCAGCATGTGTCTATTACCCACCAGGATAACACAAGACAAGTAACTTATACCAACAAAATACCAGAAGAAAATAATGTTAAGTTTATTTAGATACAGGTACATACAAATACAATTATTATATATAGTAACGTTGTGTAAATTACCCAGGATAACACAAAAAAAAGGTCAAAGTGACTTATTTCCACTGGGGTCCTTGAATGGGAAATTATTTGACAAAGAACCAGAGTAAACAATATATCTAGATATTATAACCGCATTATTATTATGGGAGAGCGTTAAACCCGTAGGGATTATACAGTGCCTGTGGAGGGGATGGAAGGCATTCAGGGACAATTCAAGGAACTGGAGCACAGATGTAATTCCCCAGATCAAAAGCCCCTCACCAGCATCAAGGAACCTTCCATGAGGGTATTATAACCACATACCTCATAATGTTATACCAAAATGAAGCCATAATACGGCACTATGTAACCAAGATATATTAAGACCACTTTACCAGCTAATAAAGCACTCTAGGCTTAAAAGTCAAAATTACCAGACTGGTCCACAGTTTAGTAGAGGCATAATGGTACTGTACTGCCATTTTAAAAACGTATAACACGAAAATATAAAAAAGTGTAGAAATATGGAGTCCGACATGACGCTGAGGTTGGGTTAAAGGGTTGACATGAAGCCATTCTTTTACTCTCATATTTTACGATTTTTTTCGCATTTTTGCGTGTTATGTACTTATAAAATGGAGGAATAACACCATTATACCTCTAGTAAACAGCAGACCTATCTATGATGACGGAAAGGAGGTATAATGAAGACATATAGTGTAAAATATGACGCCCATCCCCTCACGGACACAGAACTTTTACTCTCATATTTTGTGATTTTTTTTCCATTTCCGTGTGTTACGTACATCATTATACCTCCAGTAACCATTATATATATCTATGGTGAAGGGAACGAGGCATAATGAAGAGATATAATGTAAAACATGACGCCCCTCCCTTCATAGACATGACCAGAACATTCTCTCAAGAATAATTAATATATATATACACTAATAACATTATTCTCATTTTCCTCACATTTTAACAGTTGATGCAGAGAATATTAAGCCACTGAAGAAGAAAACTGCTACTTTAATACCAGGTGTTCATTATACAAGTGTAAGCGGTCGTTAAGCCAGGAAACAAGAGGGTGGTCATTATTGTAAGAGAAGGTCAACCCTGGCTTGTTACTACCAACCCTGGCTTGTTACTACCAACCCTGGCTTGTTACTACCATCCCTGGCTTGTTACTACCAACCCTGGCTTGTTACTACCAACCCTGGCTTGTTACTACCAACCCTGGCTTACTACCAACCCTGGCTTGTTACTACCAACCCTGGCTTGTTACTACCAACCCTGGCTTGTTACTACCAACCCTGGCTTGTTACTACCAACCCTGGCTTGTTACTACCAACCCTGGCTTGTTACTACCAACCCTGGCTTGTTACTACCAACCCTGGCTTGTTACTACCAACCCTGGCTTGTTACTACCATACCTGGCTTGTTACTACCAACCCTGGCTTGTTACTACCATCCCTGGCTTGTTTACTACCAACCCTGGCTTGTTACTACCAACCCTGGCTTGTTACTACCAACCCTGGCTTGTTACTACCAACCCTGGCTTGTTACTACCAACCCTGGCTTGTTACTACCAACCCTGGCTTATTACTACCAACCCTCGCTTGTTTACTACCATCCCTGGCTTGTTACTACCAACCCTGGCTTGTTTACTACCAACCCTGGCTTGTTACTACCAACCCTGGCTTGTTACTACCAACCCTGGCTTGTTACTACCAACCCTGGCTTGTTACTACCAACCCTGGCTTGTTACTACCAACCCTGGCTTGTTTACTACCAACCCTGGCTTGTTACTACCAACCCTGGCTTGTTACTACCAACCCTGGCTTGTTACTACCAACCCTGGCTTGTTACTACCAACCCTGGCTTGTTTACTACCAACCCTGGCTTGTTACTACCAACCCTGGCTTGTTACTACCAACCCTGGCTTGTTACTACCAACCCTGGCTTGTTACTACCAACCCTGGCTTGTTACTACCAACCCTGGCTTGTTATTACGAACCCTGGCTTGTTTACTACCAACCCTGGCTTGTTACTACCAACCCTGGCTTGTTACTACCAACCCTGGCTTGTTACTACCAACCCTGGCTTGTTACTACCATCCCTGGCTTGTTACTACCAACCCTGGCTTGTTACTACCAACCCTGGCTTGTTACTACCAGCCCTGGCTTGTTACTACCAACCCTGGCTTGTTACTACCAACCCTGGCTTGTTACTACCAACCCTGGCTTGTTACTACCAACCCTGGCTTGTTACTACCAACCCTGGCTTGTTTACAACCATCCCTGGCTTGTTTACTACCAACCCTGGTTTGTTTACTACCAACCCTGGCTTGTTACTACCAACCCTGGCTTGTTACTACCAACCCTGGCTTGTTTACAACCATCCCTGGCTTGTTTACTAGCAACCCTGGCTTGTTTACAACCATCCCTGGCTTGTTACTACCAACCCTGGCTTGTTTACTACCAACCCTGGCTTGTTACTACCAACCCTGGCTTGTTACTTACCAACCCTGGCTTGTTTACTACCAACCCTGGCTTGTTTACTACCAACCCTGGCTTGTTACTACCAACCCTGGCTTGTTTACTACCAACCCTGGCTTGTTACTACCAACCCTGGCTTGTTACTACCAACCCTGGCTTGTTACTACCAACCCTGGCTTGTTACTACCAACCCTGGCTTGTTATTACGAACCCTGGCTTGTTTACTACCAACCCTGGCTTGTTACTACCAACCCTGGCTTGTTACTACCAACCCTGGCTTGTTACTACCAACCCTGGCTTGTTACTACCATCCCTGGCTTGTTACTACCAACCCTGGCTTGTTACTACCAACCCTGGCTTGTTACTACCACCCTGGGTTGTTACTACCAACCCTGGCTTGTTACTACCAACCCTGGCTTGTTACTACCAACCCTGGCTTGTTACTACCAACCCTGGCTTGTTACTACCAACCCTGGCTTGTTTACAACCATCCCTGGCTTGTTTACTACCAACCCTGGTTTGTTTACTACCAACCCTGGCTTGTTACTACCAACCCTGGCTTGTTACTACCAACCCTGGCTTGTTTACAACCATCCCTGGCTTGTTTACTAGCAACCCTGGCTTGTTTACAACCATCCCTGGCTTGTTACTACCAACCCTGGCTTGTTTACTACCAACCCTGGCTTGTTACTACCAACCCTGGCTTGTTACTACCAACCCTGGCTTGTTTACTACCATCCCTGGCTTGTTTACTACCAACCCTGGCTTGTTTACTACCAACCCTGGCTTGTTTGCTACCAACCCTGGCTTGTTTACTACCATCCCTGGCTTCTTACTACCAACCCTGGCTTGTTACTACCAACCCTGGCTTGTTTACTACCATCCCTGGCTTGTTTACTACCAACCCTGGCTTGTTTACTACCAACCCTGGCTTGTTTACTACCAACCCTGGCTTGTTACTACCAACCCTGCCTTGTTTACTACCATCCCTGGCTTGTTTACTACCAACCCTGGCTTGTTTACTACCAACCCTGGCTTGTTACTACCAACCCTGGCTTGTTACTACCAACCCTGGCTTGTTTACTACCATCCCTGGCTTGTTTATTAATAACCCTGGCTTGTTTACTACCAACCCTGGCTTGTTTACTACCAACCTTGGCTTGTTACTACCAACCCCGGCTTGTTACTACCAACCCTGCCTTGTTTACTACCAACAGTGGCTTGTTACTACCAACCCTGGCTTGTTTACTACCAACCCCGCCTTGCTTACTACCAACCCTGGCTTGTTACTACCAACCCTGGCGTGTTACTACCAACCCTGGCTTGTTTACTACCAACCCTGCCTTGTTTACTACCAACCCTGCCTTGTTTACTACCAACCCTGGCTTGTTTACTACCAACCCGGGCTTGTTTACTACCATCCTGGCTTGTTTAATACCAACCCTGGCTTGTTTACTACCAACCCTGGCTTGTTCACTACCAACCCTGGCTTGTTTACTACCAACCCTGGCTTGTTTACTACCAACCCTGGTTTGTTTACTACCAACCCTGGCTTGTTTACTACCAACCCTGGCTTGTTACTACCAATCCTGGCTTGTTACTACCAACCCTGGCTTGTTTACTACCAACCCTGGCTTGTTTACTACCAACCCTGGCTTGTTTACTACCATCCCTGGCTTGTTTACTACCAACCCTGGCTTGTTTACTACCATCCTGGCTTGTTTACTATCAACCCTGGCTTGTTTACTGCCAACCCTGACTTGTTTACTACCAACCCTGGCTTGTTTACTACCAACCCTGGCTTGTTTACTACCATCCTGGCTTGTTACTACCAACCCTGGCTTGTTACTACCAACCCTGGCTTGTTTACTACCAACCCTGGCTTGTTTACTACCAACCCTGGCTTGTTACTACCAACCCCGGCTTGCTACTACCAACCCTGGCTTGTTACTACCAACCCTGGCTTGTTACTACCAACCCTGGCTTGTTCCTACCAACCCTGGCTTGTTTACTACCAACCCTGGCTTGTTACTACCAACCCTGGCTTGTTTACTACCAACCCTGGCTTGTTTACTACCAACCCTGGCTTGTTACTACACGTGATAGATATTGTTAGTAATACCACCATTGTGTGGTATTGTTAATAATACCGTCATTGTGTGGTATTGTTAGTAATACCACCAGTGTGTGGTATTGTTAGTAATACCACCATTGTGTTTTATTGTTAATAATACAACCATTGTGTGGTATTGTTAGTAATACCACCATTGTGTGGTATTGTTAATAATACCACCATTGTGTGGTATAACCAACTTTTTACACTGCAAAGTTGCAGAACCAGAAAATGTACCGAGAACCTTTACTGTCAATGTCAATACAGTGAAGTTGTTAAACTACTAGGAATGTTTAAGTCCCTCGAACTGTGTCTATTGTTGGTAATCTGGACGAAAAATTTATATTATATGTTACATTGGATAATTCTGGAGGAATTGGTCTCAAATCTACACCCTGAAATCACTCCCCACAAAAGTGAAGAATTAGGGAGCATTGACATTTCAACAGTCTGACTGTCTTCAAGACCCCTGGTTGTCTTCAAGACCCCTGGTTGTCTTCAAGACCCCTGGTTGTCTTCAAGACCCCTGGTTGTCTTCAAGACCCCTGGTTGTCTTCAAGACCCCTGGTCTTCAAGACCCCTGGCTGTCTTCAAGATCCCTGGTTGTCTTCAAGACCCCTGGTTGTCTTCAAGACCCCTGGTCTTCAAGACCCCTGGCTGTCTTCAAGATCCCTGGTTGTCTTCAAGACCCCTGGTTGTCTTCAAGACCCCTGGTCTTCAAGACCCCTGGTTGTCTTCAAGATCCCTGGTTGCCTTCAAGACCCCTGGTTGTCTTCAAGACCCCTGGCTGTCTTCAAGATCCCTGGTTGCCTTCAAGACCCCTGGTTGTCTTCAAGACCCCTGGTCTTCAAGACCCCTGGCTGTCTTCAAGATCCCTGGTTGTCTTCAAGACCCCTGGTTGTCTTCAAGACCCCTGGTCTTCAAGACCCCTGGCTGTCTTCAAGATCCCTGGTTGTC